TATGACTCTTTTAGGTTACCAGGACTGGGTTAAGTAAGCTTTGACAAGAACAAAAAGGATTTTCACTAGTTCGACAATGAAATCAGTGGTAGAAATACTTTTGCTGAACTGCAGCTAACAAGATAACACTGTTTCTTTACATACTGAATTGTCCATATCTTTTTTTTTTTTCATGTCAGACAGGTAATGTGCCGAGGTCGTAACAAGGTTGAAAGGAGGCACATGTCATGCATAGAGCATGAACACCCAATCATCACGCTTATGAACCTGAGGATCTGAATTGTACATATCTTAAGGACTTAGAAGTCACTAAATTATGGTTAGCAGTACTTGCTAGAAATATGTAGTCATGGCCATCATCAGTCTCATTTGTGAGGGCAGTACTGGGATTCTAAACCAAAAGGCGTAACATTTCTAGTTGAAGATAATTTTAACAGTCCATACAACCAAAGCAAACTCAAAAACTTTCCCACCAAGTCATGTTTAAGTCCAAGGCTGCTTTTGCTGTGTTTAAAAGGTCCATTTGTTCTTCTTTCTAATCTATACAACTTATAGAGAGTATTAATTGTAGAAGAGCAGAGAATTTGTTGAGTTAGGGTTCAAAAATTGGCATCATATTTTAGGAATTTCGTAGGCCTGTGAAATGAAGGTGTGGGGATTATTAACATGATGCATATAAAATTTGGATGGCAGCATTTCATACCAAGAGTTTCAAGCCAGGTACCTTTGAGAATAGTTTTTTTTTTTTTTTAATTTAGATGCTAATTGTTTAAAAAATGTAGGAAAATAACCATGCTTTTGTATAGTGTCTGTCAATTTAGCTGATTATTGTACAACATTCCTTTAAAACAAATATTACCTATAATGGAATCTGCTTGAGAAGGAATGCAAATAATGAAAATCATTTCCCAAAAAGTGGTTCTTGGTTAATCATCTTAAAATGAAATTTTACTCAAAAAATTTCTTCTAGTATTCCTTGCTTTGGATATAGCTTTGTCATTTGTGGAGCTTCTGTTTTTAATTTAAAATCATTTTTTTTCCAGTTGACTTGAGACATCTTAAGGGTGTGCATTCTATGCATTATCATACATAATAAAGATAAATACTTAAATGAACATTTTTAAATAAGTAAAACATATGTAGTTTGGAAAGAGGATGGTTTTTTAAGGCAATCCTAGAAATTATTGCTTTAAAGGATTATGTTTGCAGATCCTGTCCTTTCGGTATCTTTGCATTTTTCTCATTTAGACAGGAAGTCTAAGATTTAATTCATTTACTGTTTGCACAAAAAATAGCAAAGCCTTAGGTGAATATCTTGAAATACAATTGGAGTTTGTGCTAAGAAGCCTCATGGAAATTAACCAAAGTCACAAAACATTTTTTTCCTTTTGTGTGTCAGTCAAATTAAATAGCTCAATTCTAGTCTCAATTTCAATGATATTTATATCTCTTAAGCTAGTAATTCCAAAATAAGATTGGAAGGTATGAAATCATTTTACAGTGCATTTCAAAAGAACTAAGAAATTCGTGAGTCTGAGTGCTAGACTCCTGAGATGTTGGTTAGAAATAACCAGGTCAGTAGTTTTCCCTAGACTAACTATGGTAAATATTTAGAAAAATAGTACTTGCATGTACATTCTGGATTATGGCATGTAATGTTTATTTTATACAGAGCATGTGGATTTAGTGACTTTTGACTCTGAGCAGTCAAGTATTTCCACAAATGTGCCAAGTATGCCCACATCTGGCACAGGGGTCACCATCTTTAAGAAAGTTAGGGTCTAGTTGCAAAAGATATTTTATGCTTACTGTAAAAAGAAGCCATATTCTTCTATCTAAAAAGAACATTGTTCTGCTTATGAAGATGACTTTTTTGAAGACCATTGAAATGGCATTTTAACCTATGCTTGAAACCCATGGGAAGTCACAGTGAGAAATCATTAACTGTGTCCTATTAAAACCCTGAAACAAGAAACCTGAGCTAGTCACATTGATTGAAATAATCTTCTCTATTTTTAACTCAGTATTTATCCTGGTGCTTTCTAGGGGACTTCGGAGCATGAGATGCCCAAATGTGTGCAGTTCGAGGGGCAGCTAGGTAGCAATACTTACCTAACACCATCAACTAATTATGCTGAGAACCAGAGCTTAGTGTATTCGGAAGTTCATGTCCTTTTTTAAAAAAAACACCATTTATTTAATTAGGCAAGGAAGTAAAATTTTTAAACTTATTCCCAGTTCTTTAAGATAGTAAAACATCACCAATATTGATATAATTTATCCTTTTTGAGGCTAATTTATGCTACGGTAAACAACATCAAAGTCATAATGAGTAGTAAGATAGTGAGTCATAATATATTAATATAAAATATTCTCAGTGAAGTTATACAATGTAAAGAATACATAGACATGAGAAAATATTTGTATTTACTGTCATGTTTCTGTCTGATGTACATATAGATCCTAAAAATTCTTCCCATATGCCTTGTGGAATGTCCACATACATATTCTTTCTGCCCCTGCCCTCCTCATCCCTGACCGTTTGCACTGTATATTAATTTATAAATATTTCTTTTTTTCAGAGTCTGATAAGATTGTTACTGCTCTTTGGTGTCATGTTATTCTATATACAGTTAAAGCTCCTTACTTATCACCTGGGTTAGAATTACAATTTTACCAGGACAGAAATAAGGTGAACGGGTGATAGTTACAGAGATAAACGTCTTTGCAGACAACTTTCAGTTATGTTTTAATTTAAAACAAGTTTTGTGGTTCTTCATTTTTGTTATTGGAGTTTTCAGACAATGTTTTTTTTAAAAGTAACATTAATAGCGGGAGTTATACTATTTTAATGAGTTGGAAAGTGTTATATGTTCTGAGTGGAGTCAGACATTGAAAACCAAACGACAGCAGGATTTCCCAAATCATGGTGGCGAAACAGTGACTTTACTTTGCGTGAGCCTGTGAAGTGATTGCCTTAGTGGTCCATCAAGCAGACTGGAGGGTTTAAGACATGCTATGGGAGAGGGGACTCCTCAACCTGAGTTCTCCCTGCAGCTCCTTTACCTCCTAGTTCTATGGCAAGATAAATGGAAGCACTGTTGCTCTAAGGTGCCTCTGCTAGAATGAGATGGAGGGAGGCCTCCCTGTTCTTTACAAGCATCATAGATCTAATAGTACTTATAAAAGAAGGAAGTTGTGCCCTACTGAGTAAATTGTTCTCCAGGGGAGTATTAGTTACAGAGCTTCTTTGTTAACTAGGCTGAATGCTTAAACCACTTTGAGCTTCTTTTATTAGTGTGTTTTAAGATAGCTCTATGTATGTATACCCTAAGTATCCGCAGGATGGGAATATTTTCATATAATTTACATATAAAAGTTGCATATGTTTAACAGTAATATAAAATTATATATATAAATATATATATATATATCTTTATTTCTCTTTTGTTGCATCAACATGTAGTTAGCACTGAAATTCTGATGACAGGTGAACACAAAGCCACTGTTTTTATATTTTCCTCTTGATACTTTCTTTATCAGTGTGTTGAATAACAAATGTTTTTGATGCCTTTGCAGCTTAAATGAAACTCTCTTAACACCCATTGATGTTACTTTTTCAACCATAATGTCAACTTTTAAGGGAGGACAGGGAAGGAATTTGTAGGTTATATGGAAAAGTATAAAAATTTCAAGCAATAGTTTGTTTTCATGAAGATTTATCTACAATTTGTGGTTTTAAAAAAATGGAGTCTGCATTTTCTTTTTTATGTTTGACTCCATATATAATATAATAGAAAATACTTTTATGTATAGTTATTTTCCGTATTAGTTTTTCTCTAGAAAAGCATAGGGAAGCATGTTGCCTCCTGCCGAGTCCTAACTCGCCTTTGCTTACTAGTGTACCCCAGTGATTAAGTATTAGGAAAGTACCTAGCCCATGGAGACTGCCTTCCATTAGAATGAGCACATTATAAAAACTTGAGTTGAAGTATAAATCTAGAACTAAATAATGCAGAATGGAATCAGAGACACATAATTATGATACTTTTATGCTTCAACTCAACTTTTTATAATGTACTCAGCACTGAGCTCCCAGTGCTCCCCTCACATTCTGGTAAAGATGCAGAAGACCATTTTCTTCTTTCTCTTTCTCATCTTTTCTTTATTTTAACACCTGCATTCTTTCCTGGGTGATACGATCAAGAATAACTTTATAAGCTTCAGTTTTTTCAATCTGTCAAATGGAGATTTTGATAACTGTGCTCAGAAAGTGTTATGGTTTAATTAAATGTCATTAACACCATAAAGTTGGCATATAAAGGTTTAAGATGTAACAGTAGGACTCATTTCTGCCAACATAAGTTCAGATGGACTTATTTTCACAATACATATAAAGGCACAAATATTGTCTTATTATATTTTTTTTGGCAGTCTTTTGAAATGTAAGAGCCTTTTACCGAAAGTTTGGTTAAAATTTTGACTGTTAGTATATTACAGTATCCCAGTTTGAAATTTATTTTGCCAGTATCAAATTCTAAATTCAGGGTTCCATAGCCTGAAGCCCTCATTTAGGAACCAAGCATACCATCCATACGGTAAGTTATCCCACAGAGAGCTATTCTGTGTTGCACTTGGAATAGTGTAACAACTCTGTGTTGGTTTCAAGAATGGTTTTATGAAAGAGGCACAACTTTCCTCTTTTTTTTTTTTTTAATCGGTACTGGGGATCAAACTCATGACCACCTGCTTGCAAGGCAGGTGCTTATGCAAGCTGAACTAAATCCCCAACCCAACTTTCCTCATTTTTTACAACATGCCAAATCATATGATTTCATTCTAGAGTGGGCTTCTGATAGCAAGCAGCTCTATTCTGAATTGTGGGAGTTATCCCAAAAACCTTTTCTCAGAAGGGAGTGACATTATGATTTTCAAATAAGTGTTTTGATTGGATATTGGTCCAAATATTACTGTATGAATATGTGCTTTTTTGTTTTCAGGACCTGTCTGGCTCCATCGATGACCTCCCCACAGGAACAGAAGCAACATTAAGCTCAGCAGTTAGTGCATCTGGGTCTACAAGCAGTCAAGGGGATCAGAGCAACCCAGCCCAGTCACCTTTCTCTCCACATGCATCACCCCATCTCTCCAGCATCCCTGGAGGGCCCTCACCTTCTCCAGTTGGCTCTCCTGTAGGAAGCAATCAGTCACGATCTGGCCCAATTTCTCCTGCAAGTATTCCAGGTATTCAGTTTTTTAATCATTATGACATTTTTGTTAATAAAGACAGAGTACTCATCACTAGTAATCTCATTCCATTACTTTATCTTACTATTTAAAAACCTAGTGCTGGGATTGCATGCTAGGCATGTGACTGATTTCTCACCAAAGGGTACCAGTGTGCCAGTTCCTAAGACATTTAACAAATGAATGTAATGACTCATTTAATAAAATGACCAATTACTTTGATGTCTTCAGTTTTTCAAAAAGCGCAAACCTATTTATTCTCTTAGTATATCTTTTGTAATAATTCTGTTAAATGAAATCTTCTTGTTAAGGATATTACAGTGAGATTATTAACTAATATTGACCTTTTTGTTTTTGGCAGTATATAATCACAACAGTTGTTTACCTAAACTATTTTCAAGTTTATACTTATGTCTCATTACATTCACACACTGATCAATGTCAAAATACATTCACAGCATCACTGCTTTGTAAAATATACAACTGAATGTACAAACTTGTACTTTCTGATATAAAAGTCTGTGTTCAAATGAACTCTTATAGTCAGTTTTTTCAGTTGTCATACATCCTTCTGTATCTTTTATGTCATATTATGTTATAGGAATATTTATTTGGTTGTCAATTGCTTCATTTTCATCCAGCTTTCTGATATCAAATGTTATCCATTCAATCTCACCCAAGCAACTAGCTTTTCTTTATCACTAAAATTTATACAATTTTTTTGTGTGCAATTTTTGCTAACACGATATAGGTGGCTGTCAAAAAGTACTAGAATGGATATTGAATCCCTAATAAATTTTTCGGTAACTTATTCTGCCTTCTCAAAATCACAGGTGATTAATTTTACCCCATTTTTTATACTTTATCCTTTTCATATTTTTATAAAATATTTATTCTGGAATCTTACATATATTCTAATATGATAGGATAGTAGTAAATTTCTTTACATAAATGTATCCTATGTATTATGACTAAATTTTGCATCCAAGCTAAGGAACTTTTGAATGTATAAGGGGATGCTGTTCATAATTACAGTAGGACAACAAGCCTACTTCCTGAGAAGGAAGATTCTCAGCAAATCAGAAAATGTTGTCCCTTAGACATGCTATGTACTCACATAGTGGCATGCCACATTTTGCTTTTTTGACTAAAGGTGGTTTCTGAAATTCTTACATAATTTGGATATAGCTATTGTTAAATGCATTTTGGTTAAGGTATTTTGATGTTATTGTTTTTTGTTTTGTTTTTTGTGGGGGTTTTTGGTTTGTTTGTTTGTTTATTTTTGGTCCTGGGAATCAAACTCAGGACCTTGTGCTTGCCAGGCAGTTGCCTATGCCACTGAGCTGTATACTTGGCCCCTTGATGTCTAGTCAGTAATTATTATTTATTCTTATAGCGGTTGCAATAAAATCTGGATTGACCTGTTTCTAACAGTGTTAAAGCTATAAAGATGCCTTAAAGCTATAAAGATGCCTTACTCCAGAATTGCTTAGACAATTTTGGTATGCAGATGGCTTTTAAGAATTTACCTACTGTGTTAGTTACTTTTTTCTCATTGCTAAGGCAAATACCTGAATTAAGAGAGAAAGGTTTATTTAGCTCACAGTTTTTGGAGGTTTCAGTCCATAATGAGCTGTCTCCAAGCCAGGATGGCATGGCACAGGGGCAGCAGTCAAGGCAGCAGAAGACAGTGAAGCAACAAGAGCAAAAAAAGGAAGAGCAAGCCTCTTTTCCTGTCTTATACTGTAAGCTGGCTATCATCCCTCAGGTTGGGTATAGAACTCACGCCATCTCCATGCTCTCCTCTCACATAGGATAAGGATGTTTACAAAAGTGAGGACCCTGGCCCCTGCTGAGCCACTTAGTTCAACTTTTAAACTTCTCAAGGTGATCACAGTGTATCAACCATTACACTTAAGGGATAAAAAGTTGTGTACAAAAAAAATTACATCCCCCAAAGAAGATCTTTTTTATTCAAAATAGGGCCAAAAAGACTTTACTAACCTAAACACAAATTTTGCTGGAGTCTAAAGACATTACAGTTTTACATTTTAAACCCCTAACATGGATAGTTCACAATCTAAAAATTCTCACCTGTGCATTTATGATTTTAAATGGAGATTTCTAAAGTTTGTTTTCTTTAATTGGATATTAATGTGATGTTGAACACATAACAAAGGGCTCACTTTGGACCCATGATCTTGAATAAGCAGACATTTTTGCTTCGCAGATGTAACTAGTGGCAAAGTCCAGTTTGGCTGTGTATTTGGGAGGCTAAAAAATGGAGAGTTAGTTACATACTGACACAGACACTATTCCTTCTCTCCAGTAAGTAACTACACATTTGAACATGGAGAGAGAGTTTCATGTCATTCTGTCTCTCCTTTTGTAGTGGAAAGCCATCTCCTTCTTAGAAAGTTATCTAAAGCACATAGCTTGTTTATAAACCCATGTCATCTCAGCGTCTTAATTTTGTTTTACTGTGCTATGCCAAGTTAGCTCCACTGTAGCACACTTCTGTATAGTGCTTGATCATACTATTCAGTGACCATTAACACAAAAAAGAAATTAGACAACAAACATTTTACTTTTTTTGGTAGTGTACTCTTGAAATAATTTCTTAACTATCTTTGCCAAGAATGATGGTATATGGTATATAGTATCAATAATATAAAACAACAAATAGAATATTTTTTTAATGTTGGTGTTACTCTAAAAGGAATGACCTCTTAGAAAATTTGATGACTAGTTTTGGCACTTGTTCTGTTTTTTCATAAGTGCAGTGAACTTTTTGAGCTGAATTGATGAACTTTCATAACATCTGATCCCACCTCATTTTAGAGCATTTACTGTCTAGTCTACAGCAATCTTCTGTGCCTCTCTTTGCCTGCTTCTGCATTTGTAAAGATGACACCACATCTCATAAGAGTTCTGCAAAATTGAAATATGCTGTTACCTGTTAGACAGTAATGGTGAGCATTCAATGCATGTTAATTTTGTTTTGTTTTGGTATCAGAGATTGAACTCATGACCTTGGGCTTTCCAGGCAGCCACTTGTACCACAGAGCTAAATCCCTGGACCAGTGCATATTAATTTTTGTCGATCACTGCTACCACAGTTGTTATTATTACTCGAACCAAGGGCACCTTGACACTTCGCCATGGTTAGTGTCATCCAGAGCAGCTTATTTGATTTTGACAGCAAGTCTTCTGATTCTTAATCCATTGGCATTCTTATACTATTCAGAAAGTATGTGTAAAAAGGTTACAAGAACATTTTAACATGAGTCTAGATGTCTCCCAGAAGCCTCACATCTTCATAGGTGGCACTTTTTCAGAAGTGGTGGGATCTATGCTGTGTGGTATTGTGATTAAGGATGTTTGATTGATGAATCAGTCACTGATTGGTTTGGCATAATTCTGAGTGTGCGTAATGGACAGGCCCACTCTGGTTGTGCGTGCTATCCACCCTAAGGACATATAATCAGGATAAACTATAAGGGACAGAAAGAAGGCTGCTGTTGGCATTTGCTGCTTGTTGCTTTCTGTGTTGCTACTTTGCTGCCTTTCTGCCCACCATAAACTGTTTCTCCTCTATGATGCCCCTCTGACATTCCACCCTGCTTTGGAGCCAGCTGAGTATGAACGAAAACCTCTACAAATTATGATCCAAAATAATAAATCTTTCCTCCATTAACTTTGACATCAGGTATTTTATCTCAGCAATGAGAAAAGTAACCAAGACCATGTGTTTACTGTTATTCAGGAGGATTACCAAAGCTAACCATAAAAGCATAATATATTTTCACATAGCTGAATCTGTGTTTCTTCTAAGTAAAAAAGGAAGAAAGAAACCAAACCTTGATGTCTTTGATGGTTTGGAACTTAAAAAATGAAGAGGAACTCCAGAAGATAAAACTACCTCAGAGATTAACAGCATTTTTTGCTATTTTTCAAAAATACTGTATTTTTACTGTAGACAAAATTTTTAGCTAGAAAATAACCCATGGGCCAAGGATATAGCTCAACAGTACAGTGCCTGCCTGACAGGTGTGACGTTATGAGTTCTATCCTGGTAAGAAAGAAAGAAAGAAGAAAAGAAAGGGGGGGGGAGAAAGAAAAGAAAAGAGAAAGAACCCTAGCTTCACTCAGGTCACAGGCAAGTTGACTTCCATTTGATGGGCAGAGAAGAAAGTATAAAAATTAGCAATAGAGGAAGTTCAGAATAGTGACATCATCAATTTAACTTTGAGCAGTCTTCCCCATCCTCCATGACTGTGGCCAGGATTGCCACATACTCCAGTAGGCTGCTTCTTATACCAGTACACGTGTTCCAGGGGTGATGGGGTTTGATAGTCATCCTGCTTTCTTGTAAGAAGGGCCACTGTTTTCTCATTTATCCAAAGGCACTGGCTAACTCTTAGCACCTTTCTCTCAGAGCTTGGAGAGTGGTCCATAGCTTGAATCTAGGCATTTCCTATTTTTTTTCTCTGTTCCCACAGCTAAGCCTAGCAACACTCAGAACATGTGTTTATGATAAATGCTCATCAAAATTTTATTTGACTTTTATCTTAATGGGATTTATTAAAAAATCATAGCATATTTTCATTGAAAATTTTGTCAACTTCTATTTTCATTTCTCCCCACCTGGCCTGTATTTGCTCTTCTTTTTAACAACAGCATTTTTCTAAACTTCATATCCTTATTATTGGAAGTATTATATATATTGAGTTCTCCAGCTTATATACTATGTTTGTATAAATTTAGTCACAGATAATAAACCATCTTTTGGAGTTGATCAAAAAGTTGATAATATTTTTGGTTTTCATCTATAGGTATCTTCATATAGAGGATAGTTAGGTCCTTTTAACTCCTCCCTTTTCCATCTCCCTTACTTTAAACTTTTTTATCTCTGTATTGGATGCTAACATAATATACAATCTTCCTTTATTTGTGAATCTGTACTAGTGAAATGCAAAGGTCAGTAGAAATTACAT